CACTATATAGTATGTAGATGATGTGATGATGACCAGTGCAGAACCGACCTACATAAATACCTGGATAAGGCAGGGAAAAGATCAGATTGTTCCACAATATTGTTTTTGAATTGCTTTTTAATTTACCCCTGGAGTGCCCATATTATATCCTGCTGCACAAGTCTGCATGAGGCTGTTCATCTTGAAAACACTGACATTTCAAAAGGAAACCACGAAACTCCTCTCACATGCAGGCTGCAGTTCACTGAACTGGATGAATGGTCTTTCCACATAGCCAGGGGCATGCACAGCTGAATATAGATCACCCAGAAGATCTGCCAGCCCCATGTCCTGGGAGGAGGACACTCCTTCCTTGGGTCCAGCTCAGGTTCTCCTCAGAGAACTGCAGGTGCTTATGGTGCTGCTGCTGCATCTTTTAGGCCAAACACAAATTAATATCAATGGATGATCTTGTTGCCTGCCCAGTGAGTTCAGGGAGCATCCAGGCTTTGGGAGGGGACCTACAGCCCCCCTGGACCTGGTCCTCGGCACCTCTGTGCTGGTGGCACAGAAGGACTGTACAAAGCTTAGAGGGGGCTGTTTGGGGAACAAGGTTGAGTCTGGTACAGGCAAAACACTTTGGATCTGGACAGCTCTAATTCCTGCTCTCCCTGCTGGTTCCTGGAACATGGAGGCACCTCCTGAGCAGAGCGATGTGACAGCTCTGGGGGAGATGAGCACCCCGAGATGGGCAGAACTGCTGAAATCTCTTAGTTTTAGGTGGCCTAATCCTGCAGACATTTCCAAGGCAGGGCTATAATGACCTAAGTAAAACCAGTGAATGTTTCAGTGGAAAAACAATAGCTAGTGGAGCCTTTTGGGGCCTGAGCAGATGGGGGGGACAGGCAGTCCCAGGGCCAGCAGTGAGGTGGGTTTGTCTCGCAGCTCTGGAGCTGCTCTGGCTTTGTCCCCGGCAGCAGGCACATGGGGTGGCCGGCAGCAGGGCTGGCTGGCCGGCCGGGATTTGCATTTCCCTGGCACTGGTGATGTCAGGAGCCTGCCTCTGCGAGGTCCCCGGGGCTGCGAGGACAAAGGGGAGCTGGAGGTTTGGAAAAAACAAAGATCAAGGAAAGAGAGAAGCCAAGTTTTAAAAAAACGACGCGTTCAGTGTGCTTAGTCATAGATAGACAAACGCGGGAGGGCTGGCAGAGGCCTGTTTTCATCCTGAAACTCCCCCTCACATCCCAGACGCGCTGGGCCGTGTTTGCTATTGAGATAACATCCCCTTCCCCCACCACCCACAGATTACTGAAGGAGCAGCCGTTGCAAAAGGAAAAAAAAAACCAACAGCAACCAGCAGTTGCCTTGCTCTGCCTGCAGGAGGAATGTCAGGAAGTGTCTGATGGTGGGTGGGATGAAAGGAGGAAGCTGAACTCTAAAGAGAATATTCTAGCTCTGCTCGTGCAAACAAATGCCCCTCTGTATTTTGCTTGATAAGAACATCCAGCAGCAGGTCCTGCAGGCAGGGTGAAAGTGGAATAGTCACTCACACAGCTCTGAGGGATTTGGTTTGTACATGCTGCATTATCCAAAGCACTCTGTGAACTGGAGGGTGAAAAGATGTAAACAGCTAGGAAAAAATACAAGCATCATCAATAATTAATAATGCCTTTTTGTAATGGGAATGATCCAGTATTACTTATGAAGTTAATTTCTAGTTGGATGGATTTGTGGGAGTATATGAAATTTGGACCAGGATTTAAGTTCAGTGCAATCATGCTTTTTATTCTACTTAAAATAATTATAATTCTATTCTGCATTTTCTTTTTAGGTCTAAATAACACACAGCCTTTGTTTCCAGACATTCCAGACATCAGTTTTTGTGCACCAAATATGGCAGTTCTCAGATCCCCAAAGAGAATCTAGTTATAAATACAAAGGAAATTGTTTTCATTCATTGTCACTGTGCAACCCTGTGGAAATGCAAAAATAAGCCCGAAACAGAGATAGTGATAAGCACACTGGATTTCTAAAATCATGGAGTCAACAATGAGGAAGGAACTTAATTGCATACTTCATGAAATATTTAAACAGAGTGACCAACATGTGCAAATGTGGTGCCTAGAGTTTTACATCTGATTCTGTGCTGTGAACAGCTGGTGCTACGCTGTGTCAGTGACTCTCATCTTTTTTACTCTGTAGCCTTAAAAATTGCCAGTACACCATCCACAAGTCACTGTTTCTTGCAGTACTTTTGAAGCTTATTTTTTGTACTGGGTGATCTGTTGTGAAAAACTCTTAAGGCAGAAGCACAAAACTCCAAGGGAGAAGAGAATTGTGTTTCTTACTTAACTATAGACCTTCAGGTACATCCTGGGGACACTGGTGCAAGTAGTCCACAGCAGGTCCTGGGTGGAGGTTAGCATAGAGAGCAGGCAGAAAACTCATCTTTGTTGCAGTAGGTTAGCACAGTTGTTAACTATTTTCCAGCTATCTTCACACCTTGCTTATGCTACCTGTACAGATTTATTGGCAAGTTTTTCTAGTGGAGATCCAGTTAATCACAACAGAAGTCAAGTACCTGCCTCACAGCAGGTTCTTGTGTCAAAACACAAGGGAGGAAATACAAATTTTCTCTTTGCTTTTGTCTTTGCTTTTGTTTTTTCACCTGCTCTTCTCCCTTTGCTGAAAATCTCAACTCCTACCCCACATAAACTTCCTTCCTGCGACTGAGCCCTGTGCTGCTTTGATCAGCAGTTGGAAGAAGTTAGTGTTGGCAACAAGCTGTCACCTCTGAGCACCCCGAGTTAGGTGGGGTGAGATTAGTGAGACCTCAATGGGCCATTGTTCCGGGCTGCTTGCAGGCTCAGCTTGGCATTGCAGTGCCATGATGTTTAGAGATATTATTTGCTGTAACAAGATGCCAAAGGTAATTTAAAAAAAAAAAAAAAAAGAGAAATTGCAGACTTTTGCAAAATCTGAGTGTCAAGGTCACAAATTTTGCCTGGGGTACATGTCAGTTTGTCAGACCTATAACCCTCTGGGAAGTCCATTCCACTGCCTGATGTTAAAGCAGATCTGCTAAAAGATACTACCAAAGTATCTTTGTCTTCTGAGACCTGCTGAGAAATGACATGAATAATCTTGTTGTTTGGCCATTCCTGTTGTTTGGAGGCCTCCTCTTGATTCTTTACTGTAAGTTACATGGGAGTCCCCACTTACAAACTCTGGTTACTGCTTTTTAACATCATCCTGTGACTCCATCACTTTTTATTAATGCAGAATAAAACTGTTTACTTGAAAACTTCTGCCATCCTCATGGTACAAAAGGAAGGGTTTCCAATTTTCTTACAGTTATTTCCTGTATGTTTCCAATGTTCCCCCTGTGGTGTGAGTTTATGTTTTGGAAATAACAGTGAATTAAAAGAAATACACAGAGGAGACATGGCCAGGTTTTAAATTTTAAAGGCACTCAGGGCAGTCTGATGAGATGCAGCCTTGTGAGTCTGCTCCATTTTTCTGCCCCACTTACATTCTTTGCATAGCCAAGTATTACCCAGAACTGCTGGTATTTCTGCAGAGCTGATGTCTCTGCTTTCTGTTGAGCACTTGCCTCGTCTGCAAGAGTAAAGAACAGGATTCTCTTTAACAGCTGCCTTCCATTCTTGTCACATATTTATTGTCAGTGACAAAATTTTAAATTCTCTTAACAGAGAAATGGAAGCTGTTAACTGTAGGGCAGCAGGATACATCTTAGGTATGCATGACTTGTTTCTCTCCACAGCTCAAGGAAATGTATAGATTCATGGCTTTGTTGTACAACTGTGCTGAGTGCTCCTGCAAGCCTGTAAGCATCCTTAACTCCAATTGACTTCATTGGAAGTGAAGAGCTCTTGGAGCCTCTTGGAAGACAGACTTGGCGCGCTCGAGTGTGCCTGCAGCAGACACAGTGTGCACAGGCACCACTGCACCATCAGCTACTGCTGAGAGAGGAGAAAACGGGCAGCCACAGGAGGGAATGACTAGTTGTTCCAGTGCTCCAGACACCAGATTCCTCTTCTCACCTTGCTATGGATTGTGTGGTCCTGGACAAGTCACAGCAATTCCCGATCTTGGAGCTCTCTCTTTTTAAGCCAGAGTATGAAGTTAGACATGTTGAAGGCAATGAGATGGGCAGATACAATGGCACTGGGAACTACGTAAGAGTATGAAAGATAAGTAGCTGTACTTCTCGGCTTGTTACAGCAGTGTGCAGCACTTCTCAGGTTGTAACAGCAGTGTGCAATGTTTCTTCTTGGGTTCAGTGATCCCACTGATTCTTTTTACAGGCCCAGTGCTTGTCATGCCCATCCAGCCTCACCAACCAGCACAAACACCAGAACACACAGTAATGCCAGAAAAAACACTGGGGAGTAAAGCAATGTTCTTGCATCTGCTAAGCAGTGCAAAGTAATTGTCAACAGGCTAGGGATCCCTGCTGTGACCTTCCTTGCCCAGCATGGGAAGGGGAGGGAGAAGAGGGAAAGGGAATGAGAAAAGAGGGGATGTGACAGGGGGAGTTCCCTGCTGCACTTCGCAGGGGTCTGCAGAATGTTTCTTTCTGCTTATCTCTTTTGTGACTTTGATGCTACTTTGGATCTTCACTGTCAAAATCTTCGTGCATTTCAGTAACTTAATTAGCTCAAAGAAATTAAAAATGAAAGCTCTTGAACTTTAACCCTTCCAGGTTGAGAAGGGTTGACAGCAGAACTGTCAACTTGTGGTGTCAGTAGCATTCAGACATTTTCCTGAACATCTATTACTGCCTTTTCTGTGGACTCTCGAGCCTGATTTGAATCCCTGTTAACCCACTAGGAATCACAGTTATATCCACTGAAACCACTGATGTCATTGTGCAAAGACAATTAATCCCTCCCTCCCATCTTTCAGTTCCTGGATTTGTCTGTCACTAGAATCTCTTACCTGGCCCTGCATTACTTTCACTTTTCTGGGTTAACAAATCACCTCTGGGCATATTTGTCATGGTATACAGGAAGAACCTCTTGGTGAGCAGATTTAATCCGTATTCAGTCAGGGAGTGAAAACAATGCAGGAGGGAGGGAGAGGGGAACTCTCACCATCAGAAGCCACAGGAAAAGTGCTGTGAACTGTGAGCTAGTCCTCTCAGCCTGCCTCCATGCTTCACCTACCAGGTGTTGCTGTAGGGATTTTACTTTCTCCTTAATTCTATAAAAGATAATGTTATTATTGATGAAACTGTGTTCAGCCCTAGAATAATGAAACCATTCTGCAGAAATCCCTGCTGTTCCAGTCAGGTTCATCCAAGTGCAGCACAGACACGACCAGCAGAGCCTGCAGCAGGGTAAGGACACCAGCAAGTGTTGCTCCCATCTCCCTCTCCACTTCTGCTTCCTGATTTTTAAAATTCCTGAGCATCTCTAGTTCTGTGACATTCTTGAATTTCTGCAAACAGCCATAGAAGTGTTTTCATCTTGGTCAGAACTGCCCAGGGAATGCCCAGGGAGCACAGACACAGCATCTCCTCACAACATTTAATTGCTCTTTAGCAGTGGTACGTTACTGTGATTCATCCAATTTTACTGTTTGTACATAGGACACTTAGAGAACCTCATGGGGTAATTACCCTTGATTAGCAGGTTGGACACATACTGCTCTTTCATCCTGCAATTTGCAATTAAGAATACAGACATAATGCAGATTTCTTCTAGTCACTCTTTTATGTTTATAGGATGAGGAAACTGTTTAGGGAAAAATAATCTAAATCAGCCACCTGCTGAGATCCATCCCCTTCTTACCTGAGGATTACCCTGTGCTTGGTGGCAGCTGAGACATTTATACCTTCAGACACCTCAGTGCCAGCTCAATTCCCTCTTCCAAACATTCCTCTAAGCCCTGCTGCAGGTCTCTCTTCAGTCATATGTGGCTCAATTCACTTGTGAAGATCACTTGGACAGTATGAAAAGTCTTCAGAAGTCCTAACACTGATGTATATTTTAATTAGATGTTAGTATTTTGGGGCAGGGAAGGGTCTTCAGTTCTTCCTTCTTTGTGGCTTCTCCCAACAGACCCATAAAACTCAATATTACGGATGCATGAACTGTCCCAATAGCTGGATCAATAGGAAGGATGGAGAAGTACTTCAGAGCCACTTCCAGTGTTATCACAGTTGTCATGGGGAGTTCCCAGTCTCAGACAACATTTATTTGCAGTGGGACACAACCCAGAAAATATCTCAAGCTTTCTTCCTTGGAGTTTGTTTTTGTATGAGAACAGCAGCTGCCTTGTGTGAGTATTTCCAGAATAAGTGATTGTTACCAGAGGTCAGTTTTAGTACAAGCCCTCACAATGACATCAATATATTTCTTTGATTTTAAGCTAGGATAAATACTCATATTGCAGTTATACTATGTGTGATCATAGCCTGGCCTCTACTAGAGACATGGAGATTCTAAGCTACGTTGTGTACTTCAGTTAAGTTGTACAGACTTAGGCAGGACTGGGAGCAGAATTCTACTCCCAGTTTCCTTCAAAGGGTGCTAACAATTAATAGCTCCCTAAAATACAGTTCACTTGCACTTGGGACACAGCAAAGGCAGAAACAACCCCTCATTATTTTTGTTGCTTCCTGAACCGACACAACCAGGTGTGACAGGGAGGCAGTGCCAGTTTGTGTGCAGCCAGAGCCAGTCCCAAATTCCTTCTTCCAACGCTTTAACCTCTGAGACACCTCGTGGTGGAAACACTTACTGCTGGCAGAGAGGGAATGACATCTCTGGGAGGATCCATTTTGCAGCAGCTTGGGGCTTCCATTCTGCTGCCCTTGGTGGTGGTGGGTGCCACCCAGCCCGGGGGGCTGACCTGGGGAAAAGATTGAGCAGGTTTTTATTTAAAAAATCTAAAGCCACAGGGAAATTCATTTAGTAGAGTAGGGATGGTCGTTGTACTTGGTGATCCCAAGGGCCTTTTCCAACCCGAATGGTTCTGTGATGGTTGATCATGAGGTCCAAGCTTTGCCTTTGGCTTTACAAATATTTATGAGATCGGTGGGCAGCATTTTGTCAACGCAACACTTTCTGTGCAAAACAAAGCAAACGTGGCTTTCCCCTGGGGTTTCACAGGGGTTGTTCTTCAGACCTCAAACCGAACGGGAAGCTCGGATGGGAGCTGGGGGTGTGACGGACTGAAATCCCACCCTGTTGGTGTCCCCAGGGTCCCAGCGCTGGGACCCCCGGCCCTGGAGGGACGCAAAGTCCTCTCGCCCTGTTTGCCGCGTCAGAACGTGGAATGTTGCAGTCGTTACCTCTGAGAGTTTTAAAACCGCTTTATTCTTCTACATATTTTTTCCCCACACGTTGAGGAACCGACCCCCCCTCTCCTGCGGCGCGGGACGGAGCTCAGAGCCGGTCCCGGGGGTCGGTGTGTCATTCGTGGTGCTTCCCCACGCGACTCTTCGCACGGAGCAGCCCCACAGCGGCCTCCCGCGCGGCAGTGCGCTCCCG